GCTAAATGGACGCAATGACACCGCTAAATGGACGCAATGACGCCGCTAAATGGACGCAATGACACCGCTAGATGGACACAATGACGAATGCTAAGAGAACACACCAACGAAGAGCCTGCTGAGCCCGTCGAGCCCGCTGAGCCTGCTGAGCCCGTCGAGCCCGTCGAGCCCGTTGAGCCCGCTAAGTCCGCTGAGCCCGCTGAGCTTACGTTTCACAAACATGAGATTCAAGTGTGCAATAGTGTGCACAGCATTATTAAAAAAATACAGCCTGCTATATCGACGCCAAGCATTCAAGGCACGGGGGCCCCCTTCGCTGGATCAAATCCCCCCTGCGCCGGTTCACGCCGTCATGGACTTCTACCGGGGTTACTTGTGATTGCTTGCTACCTTTCGTTCACCCCCTCCTCTCTCAAGTTATTTTGCACCTCTCGTCATGCTGCTTTTCACCATGGCAGGATCGGAGACACGGGAGATGTTTGCAGCCACAAGGGCGACTGTGGCAAATGGCCAGTTGCTTGTTTAAACCACGCTGCGGCTTCATGTTGGAGTGAGTCCTTGCAACCCATGACACTGGTTTCGATTATAGACTTCAGAGCGTTGACAAACGTTGAAGCTCACGAAAGACTGCAGACTGGAGGTTGTGCCCGAAGAGTTCCCCATCGTACGACCGCTGTCAGGTTTATTGCCTCAGCACTGATTTGCACTGGCTTCCAGCTGATCAGGCCACGAGCCTCGTGGCTTCGACTCGAGAGGTTTTTCCGTGCTAGGAACATGGGCATTTCTACTAGGAGCAAGGACGCTACGCTACTCGTAGCTCCTGGCCATACTACTAATAACAAGAGGTCACTAGGAACAAAGGGCATTGCTACTAGGAGCAAGGATTGCTGTACTTCTTGTGGCACGAGCTGCCGACCCCAATTAAGTTTGCCAATATATTTTGTAGCATAGACTCCTCCAATGGCAAATCGACTGCCGCAGCCGCAGCCGCAGCCGCAGCCGCCGCAGCCGCAGCCGCAGCGCATACTGCTTTATTGATTCTCGCCGGTTGCTAAGCAGAGTGCAGTTTGTTAATGTTTTTGTTGCTCATGTATCTCCATGAGTGGCGGCAACGTGCCATGACTAAACATGAGTTGTAGCAGAGAAAAACATGTATTGGTCATGCTATTCGCGGGCCACTGTTTTGTCGCACGTTGTAGCATGGAGTTGTAGCGGGGTCATGTTGTGCTTCCTTTGGACTCCTTGGCAATCCTTTTCGTCGGAGGCACAACGGGCTAATGCAGTTGCTGCAGCATGGAACGGAACAGTGACAGGCCTTTGCAGCAACTGGGCGAATTATTCACAAAGTAATCAGCCAAGAAAAGAAAAGTGTTTTTTCACAAAAGCTAGCGAAGCTAGCTGGAGTTACTCTTGCGATAGCAAGGTTTCTTTCGATCGGGTGCAAATCCTAACCCCTGATTTTTCAGGTCGAAGACCCCCCCCTCACTCTCACTCTCACTCTCACACTCACACTCTCACTCTCACTCTCACTATCTCTCTCTCTCATCTCTTTCTCATCTCTCTCTCTCATCTCTCTCTCATCTCTCTCATCTCTCCCTCATCTCTTTCTCATCTCTGTCTCATCTCTCTCTCCTCTCTCTCTCTCTCTCCTCTCTGTCTCTCGTCTTTCCGTCTCTCTTCTCTCTCTTCTCTCGCAGGAGGATCCGGGCAAAGAGCCACATATAAAGGACTCTTCACCTGGAATCGTTTGCCCCGCCCAACTTGTGCAAGGCGTCCTGCCTTCTGCTACTCCGTGCGACTGCCTCCAAAAAGAGCGCCGTGTTTTTTCCTACCTCGCTGCCCTCCACTTTCCCATTCTGGAGCGCTAGCTTTCGCCCCCCCCTTGGCCTCAAGTCTTACTTGGCGAATCAGTGAATTCCGGGGGGGTGATGAGTGATCCTTGATAAAGGGACTGCTCGATCGGTTGTCCAAAACATTTGAACCTGACATTATGACGACAGTTTCTGGGATTTAGGAGAGATAGCCTGCAACTGTCCGTGGCAGTTACTGAATCAAGATTCTCAAGAGATCCCAAGAGCAAGCCTATACCTGTACCCCATTGTTTCTCGGGCTGAGTTTTTTTGGCTCCAAGTTCTGGTGGGTCTGGATCGATTCTGAAGATGAGTCGTCTTGCCGTCGGCTGCGCGCTGGCCATGGCCATTGCCGGAACAACTTTTGTGGTGGTGCCGGTGCAACGACCAGTGCCGAAAGCTCCACTTGCAGCTCCAGGGAAGCCGACCACAGAGGGAGCCAGCTGGGGTGTAGCAGCAGCAGGTGCCCCAATTGGCATTCCATCGCTTTTAATTGTTGAAATGCAGATATTGGCTTGTCGATCATATGAAGACTGCCTTTTCCAGATTCTACTCTTCAAGAGTGCTTGATCGTGCTTGTTGGTCCTTGTATATCAGTTGTTGGCGATAGAATATGCATAGACCATTTCTTGACGAAGGCTTAGGCTGCGAAAGAAGCAAACAAGCCATAGGCCTTTTTTGTCGCACAATGTCTGATCAATGGAGCATCAAGAGAAACGGCTTGACCCCGTCTTGTTGGGGTGTGTATATATATATATGTGTATATATATAGTATAGATATAAAGTATATTCTATTTTGTTATATATATATATATAAATATATACACATATATATTATATAATATATGTCCACTGCCTGAAGCCAAGATCGATCATTCGATGTGGCAAGCTTTGCGTGAGATAGAGCAAGTCAACAAAATCCAAAAAAATCACTTGCTTCCGCTTGCTTCACTCAGACCACCTCAGAGTTGCCACTCCTCTCCAGGTTTGGCATTGGGTGCCCACTTGGGTCTTGCTGTGGCTGGCCGTGTGACGCGCAAGGCCAAGGGCAAGCCTTACGTGGAGACACCTGCGGATGAGAGGCTTTTTGAACAGGTGTGGCGGGATGCAGTTATGCTCAAGGCTTTCTATCTCAGCATGCGTAGCAACAGCACAATGTTGGTGAAGTGAGCCAGTGAAGAAACCTGCCCAGTGTGACACGGTTGGCCAGAAGAGGGCATGATGTTGGCTTCTAAAGACTTGCTGAGAAAAATGCACGATATAGAAACCCCAGCAAGCCAGCAGCACAGTCAAGAACAACTACATGTGATATGGGGGTTAGCTACCAATTCTGCTCCGTGGGTTCGGATGGTTTGGCCAGGGAAAATGCTAAAATACTCTCTCAGAAAATCAATAGGGAAGGAAACATTGACATGTCCTTTTTTGCCTAGCTGCCTGGACGAGAAGGGGTTGTGATTCTTGATGATTATTGCTGAAGTATTCATGAAGCTAGATATGAAACAGGTCTACTTGCAGTACACCTCCGAGTACATGAAGGGCCCAATGTATTGGCACCCGGACAAGATGCAGGGTTTCGCGCCAGACTACCCGGGGCGCCCCATTGTGAAGAATGGCAAGTACACCAGCAATGTCATTGGAAACCTGAAGGCTTTCAGCTCGAATGAGTTGGCATTCCTCTCAATGCTCTTCTTTGGAGTGGGTCTCTATGGAAACTTGCAGTTCAACTATTACGACCCACAGTGGGCCAAGGTGGATGCTGGTGGATACTTCAATGCTTCATACATCGTGGAGTCCTTGCTGCTTCCTATCTCCTTCTTCATGCACATTGCTTGCTACATCCAGAAGCAGAACGGGAAGTGAGTAGGCAGCGGCATCCAGCAGCACTGCACCGGTGCAGTTTCCGAAAATGGGCGCGATACCAACTGGCAGGTTCAAGTGTTCAAGATACGCGTTGCGGCCAAGCGGTTCACCTAACTCCCTAACCTTTAGCTTTGATTTCACTCCAATCACACCAATCTTCACAACATGTTTCACGATTTCGGGCTTTGGGCCTCTTGGTAGGTGATGCTTGGACGTTGGGTCAGCATTGCTTGGACGTTGTTCGGTCAACGCATTACACGAGCGTAGTTATACAGGTTTCAGAGAATATAATTTGTTGAGGAGTTTGCTCTTGTGATTGGGCAAGAGTTCAGTCACTGGAAGCTGAGGCAACACTACGCGTATCATCGTGTGAGCACTGGCACTGTCAGCATGCGTCAGTCATCTATTCACTACGGGTGCTGCAAAGGATGGAGGGAGTAGTTAAACCACGCTAAACTACAGGAAGGCCCAAGCCCTTTCAGACTCAACCCTTCCAAAACTGCAGTCCAACCATCTCCAACTCAGAGAACCCTTTCAAGAACGAAGAAAGGACTACTGTAGAGCATGGTATGTTGCTATTGGTTTTCACATGCCAAAACGTCCAGCTTTGCGGCACCCAATGTTCCAAGGGCGACAGCTTTTGTGCTGCTTGAAATCCCAGCTTCCACACGTTCGCTTTTGGCCTTGTGAAGAGCCATCAGTTGAGTGCCATCAGTTTGCGACCCTGATGTGTGGAAGGGAACGACATTACGATGTGACTTTGAACAAACCAATCATTTACTGCTCGAGTAGGCTTGCTACATGAGCTACTGTATGGCGTAGGTTGGGACTCTTTGAGACAACTCGATCACAGAGCGTTCAAAATCGTGGAAATCGGGCATGCCTCCAGCTGCGTTGACCAGAAGCACACATCCGATGACACATTGGAACAAGAAGCTACTAGGTGGAGGCCATCGCTATTAGGTTGGAGGCCAATACTACTAGGAATAAGCTTACTAGTAGCAAGGACGCTAATTACTAGGTGGAAGCCATCGCAAGTAGGTTGGAGGCCATCGCTACTAGGAACAAGAAGCTACTAGTAACAAGCGATCCACTCAGCTTCAATGGTGCCACGGAGGAGCTCCAGCAGTGCCGCAGTCAAGCGGAAGTGAATGCGCAGCTTCGTGCAGAGTGCCCCTGTTTGGCAGTTTAACGTTTCCACAAGTGTCCACCTTTCTTGTTAGTTCATCTCACTGTCATCAAAGTAGTATTGTATGACATCTTCTTCTTGCCACACCTGTGTCGCTCCAGGTACGAAAAGCGCAGGTATCAGTCCCAAAGCACTCAGCAGGATCGATTGGGCTTTGCAGCATTCTGGGGGAAGCCAGCCAAGCAAGGGCGATGAACCGGGTCACTCTGGACTAGGCCGAGCTTGGCTCGCCGCAGCCCCTAATCTCAGGGAGAGAGAGAGAGAGGGAAGATGAAAGAAGTAAAAGTTGAATTGAAAGAGACCATACAAACGGCAACCTTTACTCTTTTGCTGCTAGGGCGGGGGTTGATGTTTGAATATATAAGCTGAAGGAAACTAAATCCTTCAGACAAGGGTACATGTTCAGGCTCAGCTTCCGATTTTGAGGAGATGGACGCCTTGCTTCACGAAAACGCTGCGACTGGCTTTGATTTCGAGGCCTTGGAGCCTGGGCGCTCAGAACAGCTGGGAAACAAGGTGAACGATGTCTCAAGGCTCCTTGCTCCTGGTAGCGATGCCAGGAGCCCCTAGTAGTGTCCTTGCTCCTAGTTTGGGATGTTGGATGATGTTCTTTGATGTTCTTTGTGTTTCACACACCTGCAGTCACAATGATTCAACGCGCACACACTCTCATCCGGAACGTTTGTTCATCAAGAGGCAGAGGCAACCAACTGCTGTTTTGTGAGCAAGCCGCCAGAGACCAACAAAGATGAACAAAGCACACATTCAGGCTCAGGAAACAAAAGAAACGCATATATATATATATGTAGATATACAGTTACATTGGTGGTGTCCTATTACCTGCAAGAGTCGGTAAACAATTATCACTATTTATAGGGAAAGGCTTTTACTAACCATCGTCCTCCATTGTTGCAGGGAATCGGATATACCCACCACAGCAGTGAAGGTTGTCCCACCAGGACCACCAAGAAGAGTTGCAGCAGCTTACTGAACATGGCTGAAAGAACTATGTATACATATAAGCGGAGTTATATATAATATATACATTAAGAGAGAGAGAGAGAGAACATGCCTCGTACCAGTCACTTGCGGAGACGAGCCATATGATTCCCTAAGACCACTGCTGTTAGTTTCAATACCTTGTTTTTGCACTTCAACATGGAAGGAAAAATACATTGAGTTATATGTACCTTGCCTGGTAGTAGTCGTTTGATCCGACTATCTTTTGGCTCGGACCACAGCGGTTCATATGTTCCACGACCTACCCGGGCCCCGCCTGGTATTAAGGCCACACAAATATCCGGACGGACCAGAACAACATTTCTTGCATCACGCTGTGTTCCTGCATTCTGGTGTTGTGGCCGTTCGTCGCCTTAGTAACATTTGGTAACCTATTTTTTGGTACTATCACCAGGGTGGGGCCTGTGGGCGATGGCAAAGGACAGCGGCCCAAATACTAGCGGAGAGAAATGCACCTTTCACTTTCTAGGAGGTCGGGGCGGCTGACCTTGCCGCTTTCGATGGGGATTGACCAGCCTCTGTTGTCGCGGCTGCTGTTGGTTTGCATTTTTTTACCGAAGAAAGCCGGTTTCATGTGTATAGCGCGGAGTACCTCCAAGGAAGCCTCCTATCCTTTCCGAACCAACGCGTATCCACCACCTCCTGGCTAGTGTTTCTCCCGTCTCAGGTATGCAACTGCTGCGGTAAGATGTAGACCAGGTGGCGCACGGACCGGTTTAACAAGCCAGCAAGAAATGCCCCAACAACATCCGCAATCTACCACCCAACTCTTTGATAAGCCTCTACAATGCTCAACCAAGCCCATCGGGCCACGCTATTTCAAGGAGGAAGTCAAGCACACAATTCCAATTCCAAGTTGGCTTTGTAGCTTGAACAGCCGGTAATTAGATGAGAAGCAGGCAAGTAGCGGCGGTGCAACACTTCCAGTAAATCACAACGCGATGCGCGATTCAAAAGGGCTGGTCGGGCCAACTGGGTCAGCAAATTTTCCAGCACGGTGGTGTTGGAATTGGAGGCCGTGTTCAGAACAAAACGATTTCATTGTAAAAAAATAAAGCTTTGCATGGCGAGAATCATTCTAAATCATGCAGCTTGAAATGAAGTGTTTGGAATGTTCTTCTCTTTTCAACTGACGCTCTATCAATTTCAATCACGATGTTCTCGCCCTCTTCGTTTGCAGAAGCACGGAGATGTACAGAATGATTGCGGTCTGCTCATTGAATGGTTTCATTGATGAAAAACGCTGCTGAAAACCATTGAAAACCTTCAATTTTGTCATTGCAACGCACATGGAAGCTTGAGCTGCTTTGAAGGCAGGCACCATGGGCAAAATCCGTAAAAAGACTGAGAATACGTGTTCGAATGTTTGGTTCGGTGGCGCTTGTTTGGGCTACCGGCACTGTTACGTAACAAACCGATGGCAAGAATGCATTGACAAAACAGCGTTGGGTGGCGGGAGCAGTCCGGCGAACGTGCACGGAAGCAGTGATAAGTGTTATGGCGTGTGCGAAGCGGCAATTTTCGTGGGTTTGATTCAAAAATGTCAGTCCTGTACATTGAGTGTGAGGCCAGACACAGGTTGAGTAGTCAGCAAAAGGAATCACAGGGTGTGGGGGGGCGGTAATTTGCGTCGTTGATTCGCGTGTCTGGCGCATTTGTTCCTTCGACGGCATTTCTGGTTTCAGCATGCGCTCGCTTTCACCGCGGTCACTTTTGTCGTTGTGTTTTGTGATGTTTTTGTGGTTTTGTTGCGTTTGTTGAGGGTTCCGTGCCCCCATGGACAGTTAGAGGTTTGGTTTCAAATTGACGTTGGAATACGTGGATGGTTGTTCTAGTTTAGAGCCTGGGAAACTTGCCTTTAAGCCGCGCAGACTTTGAGTCTCGGTAGAGTGGTTTCGAAAGGTGCGTGTACCCCAACGAATGCACATTCAAACCGGATGCTCACTGGGATAAAAAACAAATGACCTCAATTCCGTGTAAAACAGTGTAAATTATTGGGCGAATGAGACACACCAGTTTCCATGTATTTCCGAAAGCTGTACACCTCTCACTTTTTGCTTTTTGCCACTGCGACATGCCATTCTGCATTCACCGGGTCTTTAACAACGCCGGTACCTTGTTGTGAGCCCGGCCGCCAGATTACAATTTTTTTTTGTCCGGCTCTTTTGCAGCAGCTCACGAGTTGGGCTCATGCCAACATTGTCCTTATGTCATGGGACTGAGACGTCTGGCAGCGTCGTCGGAGCTTCTCGGTGAGGAGGATGACGTCGTTCTGGACCCGAGTGCGAAGATGGCACTTCTGACATTCCACCATGTTCCCAGTGCGGTGCATCTGGTGCGTGGAGTGGCCCTGCCAGCGATCACTCGCCAAGGGGCCATGATGGCAAACTTCCCCCAGGAACCTGTTGAAAATGTCCTCACCAGCCCTGGCCAGTACGTAGGAGCGGCAAAGGTTGCAGCGTAAGTACGCTTTCTCCAACCGCAGGTGGTGTATGCCCGGCTTGGCCTCCCCTTGAGTCTCAAGGAGGTCGTGAATGATCTCAAAACGGGTCTTCTTCTGGGTCTGGCAGGGAGCCGCCTGAGCACAGGGTGCAGTGAGGCCTTCACGAAGCTCCTTGATCAGCGATTTGGTGTGAAAGCGCACCCGGCAAAGGCTGCATTGAACTCCTGATCTGTAGACCTGCCATTGGTGGCCATGTGCCTGGGGTTCTTTGAGAAAGCAGGCCAGAAGGTCCTTCTTCTGCTGGACCATGGGGATTTTGGAGTTGTCCACCATGGCTGCCTTGTTGTG